TATCACAGATGTTCATTTTTAACTAGTATAAGAATTCAAATGTAAATACTTTTCTTTCCAAAACTGGTGCCAAGAGATAGTTTTGCTTTGTTTCTTTGGAGGTCACGGGGCCCCTGATGTTGCTGAAATAAGATAACGGTGACTTTGGAAACTAACCCCCTAGAGAGAGGCTCCTGGGGCTGTGCCTCTGGGCTGCGGAAATCCTGCGTTGGTTCAGTTTGCACCGCTGGAGCTGGCGCTTCCCTCTCCCTCTGTACAGAAGCCGCAAAGTGTGTCACTGGGACCTGGGAGCTCAGAAGAGGGATTCAGAGAGGGAGCAGCAGCTCTCTAGAGAACGTGGTTTACTGACGTTTTATGAAATGGCTTTGATACCGAGATGTGATCATGCAGGCTCGGAATGCTGGGGGTGCCACTTCGGTTTAATGTTCTTCATGAAATGGGTATCTTAACAGAATGGATTCCAGCAGGTTTTGGACTGTTATATAGATTTTTAAAACATAAACCTTACAACTGTTAAATCTTACATAGTTGGTATGAACCCCAATGTCTGAGGGTATAACTGAACTAACCTTTTTAGTTGCTTTCAGATATCCAAGTTCTATTGTTTTATTTTCCTCTTTGGGTTTTTAAAATACTTTTTCTAGTATTTTACATTTGAAATTACATTTAATTTGCATTATTTTGAGAAAAAAAAGCAACAAATCCTCTTCTCTACTTTCTTATAATCTTGTAGTGTCCTGTTCTACCTTAGAGAAAAACCGTCACTCCCTGTGTAAAGAGACTCGCAATAACGTAAGCAAAGGTCTCGGCTGCGTCCTCCAGCTATTTCATGTAAGGACCAGCTGGGTCTTCTGCATGATGCCCAAAGGTTTTAACAGTGGGGAAGAACCAGTTGTTTTTGATGGGGAGCTTCTGTTCCATTTTATCACACAGTCTGCTCTCCAGCTCCTTTGAGGTGACGTGGAGTATCTTTCATTAGATAGTCGCTTAAAGAAGCCAAATGCAGATGCATCCATAATAATGCGGTGATGGTCAGTGAGGATCTTTCTGTGGCACCAGAGAGTTGGCCAGTAAGCACTTGGTTTACAGCCTATGCGGGTCAGTAGAAGCATGCTTACTCTGCATCTTAAATGCTGTTGTAACTTCCCAGCTGGTAAGTTGGTAGAGTGGGACAGGAGGCTCAGGCTTCATGCCAACTCATGAATGAATCAGCATGGTGGTAGACAAGAACCAGAAGATGGCAACTCTGACTGACACGACTCTGCTGGAGCAGAAGCCAGTGTGCTTAGTAAAAGATATTTAAAAGGGGAGATTCAAATTGCCCTGTGCATACAGAACATCTGTGTGGGCAAGAGCTTTTTCAGAGTTCTGTTGTGATTCCAAACCAAAAAAACCAAGGCATTCAAATATAAATTTTGCTTTTTTCTCTCTTTTTATTTAAAAAAA